TTTTTTTTTTTTTTTTTTTTTTTAAAGCAATTTAATTGGATGACATGGGCTCTTTTCCTAAGAGATGACCCATAGATCCCTAACATATCATATCTCTGTGTTAGGTTAAGGACTGCTGTCTATGGTGTCTAAGGACTAATACCTGCATTTCTGAATGATTGATAAGATGAACCTGCTTAATGATTGTGAGGATAGAAAGGAAAGAAGAAGTGGCTCTATATTATGAGATTAAAATTTCAATATGGCATGTTTGTGATGGAGATCCATGCATTATTGTGATTGCCATCAGGATTTTAAGCTGGTTATATGGGTTGGATGCGTTTTTGCATACATAGAAAAAGGAGGGTTTTCACTGAAGCTGACTTACCAAATATTTCTCTTTTAAAACTTGTTTGCAGCATCAGTGCCAGCAGTAGTTCCCAAGGGCTGTCTCAGCCATCTACCCAGACGACTCAATATCTGAGAGCTGACACACCCAACAATGCAACTCCTATCACCAGTAAGAGTTAATTTAATTCTAAAGATGATTTACTATTGCTGTCTGTGGTCTGTCTGCCAGTGGTTCCTGTGTGCTTGGTTATTTGTGGGGCATGTGTACCATCCCATGTACATAGTATCTAACATGCGCAGAATTAGGCTTGATCTTCAACTTCTGCTTTCTAGAGCATTGAGTGAAACATTCTAAAATTGGAATACTAAAAATATAATTTAAGTTCAGTTGCTAGAATTAATTTTGGGGAGATTTCCATAGGTTAATTACATTAAAAGGGATACTGAATCACTTCTGTAGAAATTCAGAAGAAATATTTTCAGGTAGTTAGATAGAATAAGCCATTGAGCTGTATGAAGATGAGTCTTAGATTTTAATGAATTGTGTGATAATCTGAAGGGCAGTGGTAGGGATTTTGCATTGTTTTTTAATCATGATAGAATAACTTCCTATCCTGTAGGATAGCTGCCATTAGAATTGAGAACATGAAATCTGATTTCCCCCCTTTTTTTAAACAGGATTTTGATAAAAGTTTTTACACTGTAACATGTTGATGTTGATGTTGGTGGAAAATAATCATTCTTAGAATATAATTTAGACGCAATGAGGAATGAGTCTCCACACAAATAGAAAACAACATAATCCTCAGGATAAACAGTGGACCATAAATCAGGGCTCAACTCAGTAGTGCTATTGATTAATTAGGTCTTACAGGCAGTTAGCTGGTATCTTCCTTGGACTGGCATTTACTATCTGTTCTTCATCCAGTGCCCTGTTGTGGTCTTCCAGTACTGTTTCCCATTAAAAAGAACCAGGATTCTTTGGGGAAATGGAGAATTTCAGGACTAGGTCAGGAATGGGCAAGATAAACCTGGGGCAGGTTGAAATGGGACATTTGAGCATCAAAAAGAATGACTGCAGTGGATGGAAACAATGTGTAAAAATCCTTGAGTTTGTGATGATAGTTATTGAAGAAGTTAATCATTATGAGAAGTAACTAAGGCACCAAAAATCCCTCTTTCTGATGACTGGCTATATGAACTGTATTTCAGAGTAAGCAGATAGTGCTGGTTGATGAGGGAAAATGCTTCTTTACAGAAGAATCCTAGCTAATAAATGTGGAAGGAATGATAGAATTAGAAAATCATAATTATAACCTCTGTTAAAATAATTGATTCAGAAAAAGACCATCAGTGTTAAAACCCTGTCAACAAAGGGAAATGGGATCATTTGAGGGAGCAGACTGTCATGGTGTGACTCCTCTAATGAAACTTTGCATCACGGAAAGTAGGACAACTAGATATTTTGTACTCCCACATGTGATATACCACCCATGGAGTATTTTTTGTCTCCCTTCCCCACTACTAAGAGGTAACCTGCACCTAATTATGGCTGTGGAACTGATTGGCAGTTTACAAGAAATACAGGGATCAAAGAACAAGTTAAATGATACTTGAAGAAGCAGATGCTGAACATTCTTCAGGATAACAGAACTGGTTTCTTTAATAAGAGTGGCAAGAAAAAGAAAAGGGGGAAAGAGTGAATGCTCAAGATTAAATGAAATTTTAAAGAAATCATCAGTAGTTACCATCACCGCCAATGAAAGAAAGAATTATATGCTCTTCAGAAAACACAATGATAGATATGAAAGTAGTCCAGACTATTCAGAAGAAACACATCATTGATTTTAATGTTTAAATGTCAAGATTTGCTCAGTAGAGTCAATTCTTGATTGTGGCTATAACCTTAAAGAGATAGAGATTCATTTATTATATGCTAAAAGCAAAATGCTTTTTAAAAGTCACTTGAGGGGCACCTGGGTGGCTCAGTTGGTTAAGTGTCCAACTTCAGCTCAGGTCATGATCTCACAGTCTGTGAGTTCGAGCCCCACATCAGGCTCTGTGCTGACAGTTCAGAGCCTGGAGCCTGCTTCAGATTCTGTGTCTCCCTCTCTCTCTGACCCTTCCCTGCTTATGCCCTGTCTCTCTCTGTCTCAAAAATAAATAAAAACATTAAAAAAAAAGTCACTTGAAATTACTTATTAAAAATATTTTTAGTTACTATTGATAAGAAATGTACTTATTTTTGTGGACATTATCTTGAGATAGATGATTCATTTATTATGTAGGGCAAAAACAAACATTTTTTTAAAAATCCAGTGGAAATCCACTTGTATATAAATAAAAGAAAGACAAAGAGAGGAGTAAAAAAAATATTTGGAGACACAATGGCCAAGAATTTTCCAAAATAACAAAACAACAGACCATAGATCTAAGAAACTCTGAGAACTCCAGGTACGATTAAACATATACAAATACAGATACTCACATATCTGTGTGTATCCTGTTCAAACTGCTGATCAGTAGAATCAGCCTAATCCTTTGGTTACAGAACTCTCCAAGCCTTTCGTCTAGATCTTGTAGCAACAATTGATGACCATTGTCTAGGTCTTTTATCTCTCCAGGGAGTTTTTTACCATGTGTTTACCAAAGCGCATAAATCTTAGAGAAGCCATTCCGGTTTCTACTTGCTAACACTGAATCTTCCTTCTATTCTAACATTTTTTTCTTGGAATGAAAATTTTAAGTTATAGCTAGAAATTTTATTTTTGCTGTCAGTAAGAATGAGTGGGAAAATAGCGGAGCTGAAAAACAGATGTATCTCACAATGATACAACTAGGCTGTATAAGCATGAGATTGATTAAATCAACCAGATGTTTTGTTCGAAAAGATAGTCTTTTCATTTGAAAAGTTGTTTTGTTAGGAGATTATATTAGAAAATCTTTTGGGGAAAAAAACAGTCCATAAACGGGAATAAGTTAAATTCTGTGAGTCAAGGGTGCCTGGGTGGATCAGTCAGTTGAGCATCCAACTCTTATTTTGGCTCAGGTCATGATCCTAGGGTTGTGAGATCGAGCCCCATGTCAAGCTCCACATTCGTGCCGAGCATAGATTCTGCTTAAGATCTTCTCTCTCTCCTTCTGCCCCTCTCTACCACTTGTGCTCGCTCTCCCTCTCTCTCTCTCTCTCTCTCAAATGAAATAAATAAAAATAAATAAAAAAAGGGGTGCCTAGGGTGCCTCTGTTAAATGTCCAACTCTTAATCTTGGTTCAGGTCATGATCTCAGGGTTTGTGAGATCGAGCCCCACAATGGGCTGTGCACTGACAGCACAAGCCCGCTTGGGATTCTCTCTCCTTTCTGTGCCTCTCCCCATCCCCTGCACACTATAAACAAACAAATAAATATTCTGTGAGTCAAAGCTTATTTCATTTGGGTGAAAGGCAGTTGAAGTGGTGGTAATGGTAATACTCATTTTAGTGTTACTGGTCTTAATTATGCATTTTAAGGATTTGGGATAGGTAGAAAGTGTTTCTTTAAAATTCTGTGTGGCCTTGCAGCACCTGGGTGGCTCAGTTGGTTGAGTGTCTCACTGTGATTTCACAGTTCATGGGTTCAAGCCCCACGTCGGGCCCTGTGCTGACAACTCAGAGCCTGGAGCCTGCTTCAGATTCTGTGTCTCCTTGTCTCTCTACCTCTCCCCCTTTTGTGTGCGTGCACGCACACTTTCTTTCTCAAAAATATATAAACATTGAAGAATAATTTTGTGTGACCTTCGTAAGTAATTCTCCCTGTTCATGTGTGTGCCTTTCTCTTTTTTTTTTTTTTAACGTTTATTTATTTTTTGAGACAGAGCATGAATGGGGGAGGGTCAGAGAGAGAGAGGAAGACACAGGATCTCAAACAGGCTCCAGGCTCTGAGCTGTCAGCACAGAGCCTGATGCGGGGCTCGAAGTCACGGACCGTGAGATCGTGACCTGAGCCGAAGTTGGACGCTTAACTGGCTGAGCCACCCAGGCGACCCCCATTTTGTGATTCGTACATTTATTCATTCCTGTGACTTGAGTCCTGAGTTTGAACTGTATTAGTTGACCCTGATGGCACAATAAGGGTATTTATATTTCTTGGTCTGGCTTTGTTGGCTCCTCAGGTTATCCTACCTTGCGGATAGAGAAGAACGACCTGAGAAGTGTCACTCTTTTGGAGGCCAAAGCTAAGGTGAAGGATATAGCAATATCCAGGGAGAGGATAACTTTAAAAGATGTACTCCAAGAAGGTATTTATTTTCTTAAAATCGTTTCTCAAGCAAGATTTAATGTTAACACTATAAAATTTTTTTTATTTCAGATTGTAAGAATTTCATGTCTTTGTGTTTAAGGATAGAAGTATACAATTTATTTCCTTTCTAAAACTGATTTTTATTTTCTCTTTCTTTAGATCTTTAATTTGCCGTAATACAGCTTTGGTGTAAATCTTGATTTTTCAGTACATTAAAACATTAATGTACTTACGAATGTACTTATGTATTAAATGTATTATGAATTAAGACATAATGTACTTATGTATTAAATATGTATAGAAATATACATATTTGTATATATTAGCATTTAAATACTACCTTTAAATATATTTTCTGTTCTTGTTTAAAGATGATCACTACCTAGCAAGCCTGTTTCAAATATTCTAAGTAATTTTCTCTGTGACAGATAGTATGGGGATGGAGCAGATGGAACAAGCATGGGCTTTGGAGTCACACCCAACTTCCATCCTCGTCCCATGATTTGTCACCTGTGTGACCTTGGAGAACTCATTTAATATCTTCCACGTCGTTTCCTTTTCTGTAAATTTGCACTGCATTGTCTGCACTTGGACTAGTAGTGAAGATTAGATGAAATGATGTACATTAAATGAACTTACGCATAATAGATGTTTGGTAGATTTTAGTACCCTTCCCTTTCCCACCTGTTGGTCCTTGTTTTCTTTCTTGAATTTTAGGGTATTGATTGAGGAGATGCTGAATGAGGACCAAAATTAATAATAAAGTACTTCATTGAGTTGAGTCCCTCAAGTTATTAAAGAGAGAATTACCTTTTCCCCCTTCCACAATCCAGTTTGTAGTGTTTTGAATGCATATGAGTCATTCTGAATTCATCTCTTGGTTGAGCTGCTTATAGGTCAATCACAGCTGAGAGGTTTGAACTGTCCCCAGTGACAAGTAGTAATTAAAAGAAGCAAAATTTTTGGTCTGTTTTTGAATGTATGAGGGGAGTCCATTGTTCTCTTTTGTTATTGTTCTGAAGCTAAGCTTAGAAACTCATAAATGCCTCTAATGGATACCCCATTACTGAGTTCCACTGTTCCTGGCTATATCAGTTTATTTAGGATGATTCAGAAAGGATTCTCATATATTTAGTTTAAATATGGTATTTCTAAAAGCAAGTTAAAGGGTGCCTGGGTGACTCGGTTAAGTGTCTGACTTTTGGTTTCTGCTCAGGTCATAATCTCATGGTTTGTGAGATAGAGCCCTGTGCTCTCAGCGCGGAGCCTGCTTGGGATTTTCTCTCTCCCTGTCTCTCTGTCCCTCCCTGCTTGTGTGTGTGTGTGTGTGTATTTATCAAAAAATAAATAAACTTAAAAAAAACAAAAGCAAGTTAAAATATTTCATAGTTACGAAGAATTTCTAATAGTCATTAAAAAACCAAAGATTTAGGTGAGAATAATGCTGCTGATCACATATGTCCTTGTTATGTTTAAGTTATATTGTTCCAGGAAGTTTTGTACTTATAGTTTTATGAAGGTTATCATATGATGATCTCATTAATTATTATTTTTCCTTCTAGGTACTTTTGGGCGTATTTTCCATGGGATTTTAGTAGATGAAAAAGATCCAAATAAAGAAAAACAAGCATTTGTAAAAACAGTTAAAGGTAGGGTTTTTTTCCATACTGTTACCAAAATGTTTCCCTAAGGTAGATCATGCCAGTGAGATTCTGTCTCAGATTCTGAGTCTGCACCAGACCTTTAAGTCAGTTCATGTGAGTTTAGTTCATATGAGGCTAACTTTTGAGGATATTTGGCTTGTTTTCATAAGGTATAGAAAAAAAGGTCTAATAATTTAAGATGTTAAACACTTACTAGGTATTACTTGAGCTTGTAGTTAAATTACATCTATTTGACTTCATTGTTCCTATATGTACTATTGTGTTTTTCTTAGGTAAAAGTTGTTTCTTTCCTCTTAAAAACAGTTACTTATTTTTCCTCCTCCCCACTCCCAATACTGCTGTCTACAAACAATAAAAAACACCCTGTCCCCCCTCCTCCACCCCAGACTCATAGTACCTTACATGAATAGGCTTGTCTATCTTCCTCCCACTTCCCTGCCTTTTTTTTTTTTTTTTTTTTTTTTTTTTTTTTTTTTTTTTTTTTTTTTTTTTGCTGTTATATGTAATGCTGCAGAAAATATCCATGTGTGTATGTATCCTTCTTGGCTTAGTTTTTTTATAGGTATAGCCAGAGTTGACATTGTTGCCCCAAGAGGTATTTGCATTTAAAATTTAGATAGATGTTGTCAGATTGTTTTCTAAAGGGTATATCACACTAGTTAATGTTATCATGAACAGAATATCTATTTTCACATATTCTTTTGGAGCAATATGATGCCTAATTTTTCACTTTATAATTGATATTTGTAAAAGCTTAAATTTTAGTTAAATTTGGTCATTTTAAGAAAAAGAAAAATGTAATTTATAGGGTGTTTAATGTCTGACAGTGTCTGATATGGACTGAGATGACAAGATGTTAATTTTGAAAAAACAAATAATAGCATTTTGATGCAGAAATTGAGGAAAAAATTAAATTCCGTTTTATATGTAAGAGGTGACATTTTATGAAGTTTTCAAAGTTAATTTATAAAAACTTATGTTTCTAAATCTACTTAAATGAATTGATGGAAAAGTATGAAGGATTTATGTTGTTTCTAAAAAGTTGTACTAACCTTAAAAATAAGGGTAATTTGATTTCTTTTAATTTAGCAAAATTGCTTGCTTAACACACACTTGCCATTCACGCATTGTTTTCTAAACGGTTTAACTTATTATACTGTTCAGTATATATTTTATCTACTACCTACCTCTCCTAGCCCCAAAGCATTTATAAAGGTTAATATTTAAGTTTGGTCCGTTAGGTTTTCTGACTAGGTTTGAAAGATACTTTACATATTAGCATTTATAAATATAGAATTTGAACCCTTAGTTTAATACTGTTGACTTTTGTTACATTTTCCCCCATTTTTAAGGAAACATTCCTCTGTGATTTTAATATTTCTTCTGGAGTTTATAAATCAGTGGTTAGTTTACAACTAGGCTGTCACTAATTTGTTCTGAATGAATCTTGAATTAGCAAAAGAACTTTCTATGTATAATTGGGTTGACTTAGGGTTGGAAAGGAGAAAAAAAGGAAATAATAGTGATAAGAAAACACAATGCAGATTCTGGGACTGTTTCACAAGATAAGATTTCTCCTTCCGGATACACTTGAAGTTGTAGTCAATTGGTTGTTTCTACGCCTTAACCACTGTGATTGTAATGTTCCTTCTGAGCTAGATGGAAACAAGAGAAAGCACAGTGAGTCCTTAGCCAAGATATAGTTACGGTTTGCATGAGAAACAAAGAGGAAGTGCATTGACCACAGTCGTTGGCGCAGAATTGTTAGATAGCTCCATATGATTGGGTATCTTGAGATTTATTTTTTTGGAATTTTTTTTTAATTGAAGCTATGAAAATCTGGCAAATTTCTTTCACAAATCTGTATGCTTTATTACTTGCCACACAATTAGAAATGTAGCTTAAAATGTAAAAAATAATTTTTTAAAAGATTATTGACCTTTACCTTTAGACATAAGCAAGAAATTAGAATTTGGCTTCATAAAAAATTTGTAAATTTGCACAGAGACTTAATAGACATTCCAGTCTATTATTTATGTTGTTTCTAAAAAGTTGTACTAACCTTAAAAATAACAATAATGTTATTATATATGTATATTATATATAAAACACAAGTTGTGTGTGTGTATAATGTATAAGAAAGAAATTTCCAGAGATTGAAATTAAGAATCTGAATCTCATACAGTGAATATTGTGAAATTGAATTCCATGAAGTAAATTAATTAATTTGAGGTTATTGGTGTTGGGTTCTTATTTTGTTTTATAGTTGCTACTACTTTGCAATTTGGAAATAAGTTTTTTTTAATCATTTGTTCTTCTTGTAACTTGGAATGTAAATATTTTATAGTATTCTTTTCAAATGTGCACATCTTAAAATCTTTCAGTATTTAAAATTAAAAGACTTGGACTAGACTGGGAAGGGAATCCAGGAAAATGGTTTTTTCTTACTAAATGGATAAAATTATTTTTTCTCCAACTCCAACTGTTCTTAGATCATCATCTAGTTCAAGTGTCCCTTGCTTAATAGAGTATGCTTATTAAAGTTAATAATTTGAAGAAAATTAGGCATAAAATAACATGTCCTGAAATTGACTTTTATTTGGATCTTCATGCCAGTTGACAGGAAGGTCACCACTTATTAACTGGGTGCAGATTTCCAAATATTACTAGATTTCAATCTGAAAAAGACCCTAACAGTCCCCAAATCGTCCTGGTCGTAATTTGATTAAAATTTATTTAGATTACAGAAAAAGAAATAAAGGCACATTCTGCCATTCCTAGATGATCCTAAATTTTGAGCAGTTTTTAGACAACTAGAGTTTATTCTGGCAGACATCAGTGTGATGCACGTTTTCCAAAGAAGTACCAAGTGTTTCAAGCCCTTGGCTTTTCGTCCGCCCATTTTACATTCCTACAAAGGTTTAAACTAAGTGAAGCTGTCTGGAAAAGTGGACACTACTAGCAAGTTGTGGAAGAGGGAGTGATTCCACTAGTTAGTCTTGGAAGAAAATGAAGTTTGTGATTGCTTAGCTTTGACAGTTGCACTTTTAAGGAGTAAATGTGACACATACTCATAGTACTTGACTTCAGTGATCTGGATTTTACTCTTGGTTTGGCATTTTACTATGTAGGGCTGGGATGTGAATCTTGGCTTTGCCAGTCTTTGTATCTTTTTCTCCCTCTTGTTGCGTTGATCAGAAGCTTTGCAAGTTACTACTATTTTTACTGTTGACATCCAAATTAGTTATTGGTGTCTTTGAAAGTGTTGTTGTTGTTATTATTTTTAGGGAGTGCTAGCAGGGGAGGGGGCAGATGCAGAAAGAGAGAGGGAATCCTAAGCAGGCTCCATGGTCAGCACGGAGCCTGACGCAGGGCTTGATCCTACGACCCTGGGATCACAACCTGAGCTGAAATCAAGAGTTGGACACTCAACCGATTAAGCCACCCAGGTGCCCTTGAAAGTGTTTTTAAAGATACACTATACTCAGGGTGCCTGGGTGGCTCAGTCGGTTGAGTGTCCGTCCGACTTTGGCTCAGGTCATGATCTCATGGCTCTTGAGTTCAAGTCCCGTGTTGGGCTCTGACAGCTCAGAGCCTGGAGCCTGCTTCGGATTCTGTGTCTCCTTCTCTGTCTCTGCCCCTCTTCCACTCGCTCTGTCTCTTTCTCAAAAATAAAAACATTAAAAATAAATAAGTAAATAAAAGGTACACTATACTCATAATTTTGTTTTTGATATCTACAGGCCAGTTTTTTTTTTAATTTTATTTTTTATTTTTTAAAATTTACATCCAAATTAGTTAGCATATAGTGCAACAATGATTTCAGGAGTAGATTCCTTAGTGCCCCTTACCCAGTTAACCCATTCCCCTCTCCCACAACCCCTCCTGTAACCCTCAGTTCTCCATATTTATGAGTCTCTTCTGTTTTGTCCCCCTCCCTGTTTTTATATTATTTTTATTTCCCTTCCCTTATGTTCATCTGTTTTGTCTCTTAAAGTCCTCATATGGGTGAAGTCATATGATTTTTGTCCTTCTCTGACTAATTTCACTTAACATAATACCCTCCAGTTCCATCCATGTAGTTGCAAATGGCAAGATTTCATTCTTTTTGATTGCTGAGTAATATTCCATTGTATATATATACAACACATCTTTATCCATTCATCCATGGGTGGACATTGGGCTCTTTCCATACTTTGGCTATTGTCGCTAGTGCTGCTATAAACATGGGGGTACATGTGTCCCTTTGAAGTGGCATACCTGTATCCCTTGGATAAATACCTAGTAGTGCAATTGCTGGGTTGTAGGGTAGTTCTGTTTTTAGTTTTTTGAGGAACCTCCATACTGTTTTCCAGAGCGGCTGCACCAGCTTGCATTCCCATCTTCAGGCTGGTTTTTAAAAAACTGAAACTCATTTCCAATTTTATAATGAAAATATGCCATTCACTTAATGGAAATGTTCTTTTTAAATAGTGGAGAATATCCTCATTATTAAAGTAGTGGCCCCCGTAAGATGAAGAATGCTTATAGATTTGTGCAGATATTTGCTGACTTAAAATTCCTTTGGAGGCGCAAACTAAAGATACTAGTAAATTGCATTATTGTGTTTTGTGTTTCAAAAACATTGAACTAAAAGCCAATTATAGTTCTGTTACTTTGGACCAAAAACAATAAGTTCAGATGCTAAAAATAAAATGGAATAATCATACTAGTTTTGGGTATTCTATGATAATTACATTTTTTTCTATTAATTTAATATCAGTTCTTTTTGTTTGCTAGCTTTTAACTCAGATAGGTAAGAAGAAAATAAAAGGGCCACAATCTCCCTTCAGAACCCCTGTGGTCATTTTTTTTTATAGTTTTATGTTTCTAAGGTTTGAACATGTAAATTGAAGAGAAAGGTGCAAAATTTAAATTCTCCCATCTCTAAACCTAACCATCATTAACAATTTATTATGATTCTCTTCATGAGTAAGAAAAAAAATGTGTCCAGATGTATCTAATTTCTCAAATAATTTGTTTTTAAAACATAACTGGTCACTCAAACAATTTGTCACCTTGGTTTTAAAATTTAATATATCTTGGAGATCTTCTGTCATACATAGAGACTTAAATCTTATTTTTTAAAAGTAATTGTATAGTATCCCATTGTGCTAATTTAACTGATTCTCTTTTGATGGGCACTTTGGGTTGTTTTGAATTTTTTGCTATTACAAGTGAATAATATTCTTGTTACATTATATGTAGATGAACTTTTGTGACTATATCTGTAGATTATGCTCTTAATAGTGGGCTGATGATGTAGAGTATATGTATTTTTACACTTTGTTGGGTATTGCTCACTTTCCCAAGATGCTATTGATGAACCTGTTTCATCACACTCCTGCCCAAACTGGCAGGTAGCTGATTGTTTTTGTCCCACTCTGACCAAGAAAATGATACTTCTTAATTTAGTTCGTTTGTCTTTACAGAAAGGTGAGGCTAAAAGTCATTTTGTAATTTTTTTTGTCATTTGTGTTGCTTTTTTTCAGTAAAGTTTATGCTTTTATCTTTTGACTCTTTAAATTTTTTTCTTATTGGTTTGTAGGAGTTCTTTAAAGAAGGGAAAAAATGAAATTAGCCCTTTATGTATATTTTTCCAGCCTGCTACTACTTTCTTTACTTTTTTTATGGAACCTTACTTAATTTCTAATTTTTACATACTCAAATTTATTCTTCCTGGCTTCTGTTAATGTTCATCTATTAAATTAAACACTGCCTGTTGCAATAGAATTTTGTAATATTTTGTAATTTGATAATAGAAATAGGCTAGACCTATGTAGATTTACCTGTATCTTATAATGAAAATTCATCCTATAGTTTGAGATAAATTTTTGCTAATAGCAGAATAGGTCTTTTCACATATATAGTGTTAACATCCATGACAATGTCCTTTTCTTTATATAGATCAAGCTTCTGAAATTCAGGTGACAATGATGCTCACTGAAAGTTGTAAGCTACGAGGTCTTCATCACAGGTGAGAGGAAAACTACCCAGCATTTAAATGTTAAGCATGGTAATATTGTATACTACATTTTTATTTAAGAAAGTTGTGACATGTTCTGAATTGAAAGCTTTTTGGAATGCCCTTATTTTTTAAATAGAATATCAGTGAAAAAAATTAAAAAATGCAATAGATTCTAAGGAAGAAAAGAAAACATAGCTGGATAAAACATAGCTAAACTTTTTTTTTTTTTTTTTTAATTTTTTTTTTTCAACGCTTTTTTATTTATTTTTGGGACAGAGAGAGACAGAGCATGAACAGGGGAGGGGCAGAGAGAGAGGGAGACACAGAATCAGAAACAGGCTCCAGGCTCCGAGCCATCAGCCCAGAGCCTGATGCAGGGCTCGAACTCACGGACCGCGAGATCGTGACCTGGCTGAAGTCGGACGCTTAACTGACTGTGCCACCCAGGCGCCCCACGTAGCTAAACTTTTGAGAAAGGGAGTTTTTACATATTTGTGTGCATATTATTCTTTAAAAATTAGGATAGTGATATATATCTGCTATACTCTCTGTCAAAAATAAATAAACATTAAAAAAAATTAAAAAACAAAAAAGGCGCCAGGGTGGCTCAGTCGGTTAAGCATATGACTTTGGCTCAGGTCATGATCTCGTGGTCTGTGAGTTCAAGCCCTGTTTCTAGCTCTGTGATGACAGTTCGATGCCTGGAGCCTCCTTCAGATTCTGTGTCTCCCTCTCTCTCTTCCCCTCCTCCATTCATGCTCTGTCTCTTTCTCTGTCAAAAATAAATAAACATTAAAAATTTTTTTTTTTTAAATATCTGCTATGGGGGGTGCCTAGGTGGCTCAGTCGGTCAAGCATCCAACTATTGGTTTTGTCTCATGGGTTCTCACAGTTTGTGAGTTCAAGCCCCTACATTGGGCTTCAAGCTGACAGTACGGAGCCTGCTTGGGATTCTCTCCCTCTCTTGCTCATTCTCTGTCTCTCAAAATAAATAAATAAAAACTTGAAAAAAAATATTTAAAAAAATACCTGCTATGAAATTCTTTAACATAGAATACCAGAGATAAGAATAATAAACACCAGTAATCCCATCTCCTAAATTTAGTGAAAGTTAACATTGTACCACTTTTGTTTGGTGTATATAAATGTCTATTATCTACCTAGATGATACATAGATATTTAGGAGTGTAGTAATATTTAAAAAAAAATTTTTTTTTAACTTTTTTAACGTTTATTTATTTTTGGGACAGAGAGAGACAGAGCATGAACGGGGGAGGGGCAGAGAGAGAGGGAGACACAGAATCGGAAACAGGCTCCAGGCTCTGAGCCATCAGCCCAGAGCCTGACGCAGGGCTCGAACTCACAGACCGCGAGATCGCGACCTGGCTGAAGTCGGACGCTTAACCAACTGCGCCACCCAGGCGCCCCAGGAGTGTAGAAATATTTTAAAGTAAACTAGACATCTCAGCACTTAAATTCATTTCCAGCCTGCAATTCCCCTCCCCCCATGAAGATTTTTTTAAAAAATATTTACTTATTGAGAGAGAGGGAACAAGTGGGGGAGGGGCAGAGAGAGAGGGAGGGAGAATCCAAGCAGGCTCCGCGCTGTCAGCACAGAACCCAATGTGGGGCTGAACCTCACGAACCGTGAGATGACCCAAGCTGAAAATCAAGAGTCAAATGCTTAATGACTGAACCACCCAGGTGCTCCGAAGATGTTTTAATATAATCATAATACCATTATTATCTTCAACAAGGTTAACAGGCTTCTTAATATAACAGAGCAATGTATCTAACTTTTTATGTAAGTAACTATGAATTCATATCTACATTTAAAAAAGATTTGGAGCAGTTCATTGAATGGTTGACCACGATCTTGTCATTAGGTCATAGTATGGTTTTTAAGAAATACTTGTAGTTCTGTATGAAGAACTTTAAAAAAAAAAAACTCGTATCAGTCCTCTTACAGAGCTATAACAAAAGCTCTATCTTCTGAAACAAAAAGGACTTAAATATTGTATCTCAACATGCTGCAGTATCAGTATTGGGGCAAGGTTTTTAAAAAGAAAAATAACTACATAGAGTCAGCTTAATTTGTATGCCTATTGCAGATTTGGTTGCATATGTTTAAAAAAATGGGTCAGTGACCATCCCTGTTGGAAGATATGTATGGACTTCTGGGGAAACACACACACACACATGCACACACACAAGTGATGCATGCAAAAGGCATCATGCATTTTAATTTCTTTGTACTTTGAGCAGTTACTTGAGTTCTGCCAAAAAATAAGATGACTATGCAGAGTTTTATTTTTGAGTTTCATTTATACTTTGGTTCCTATTTGAAAGAATTTGAGAACCTAAAAAGAAGGCAGCAGTAGTGAGAGCAATAAAATGGTAATGAAAGTTGAGTTTTATGGCTTTGTGATGGTGGGGGAGAAAACAAATAAGCCAACAATAAGGATACAAATATTTTTGCTGTGATTGAACATAAAACATCTTTTAGTTTCTGGGGAAACATTAAAAGTTGATAAATCTCAGTATTAGAAGGGAAAGAAACAAATGTTCTTTGGGGGAGGAAAAAAGTTTTCCTAGTTTCAAATTCTCAAGTAGATGTCACATTAGGCTTATCATACTTGGGGCATTGATTAATATAATGAACAGATACACTTTTTAGTTTCATTGAGCATAAAAAAGCCCAGGGTGTTTGAAAAAATTGGACATACAGTAATGGTCGGACTGAAGATGTCCCATTGAAGGGTTAAAGTCAAGTGATTGAAGAATGTTACCTTCCCTTGGTCTGATTCAGTCCAAGTATAGAACGTATTTACAGAGGAATGCATGGATAACGTTCCTGAGATTATATTTTATAAAAAATACATTTTGTTTCCTTTGAGTAACAAAACAATTACTGGATAATGGTCATTTAGAAATGTCCTTCTTGACCAGATTGGAAGTGCTTGATGTTCTATTCTGCTGAGTCTGAGAGGAAGAGCCAAAAGTGTTTAATACTAGTATGTAATGTCAACCTAGTATTTAGGTACCTACCTAGTATTCTTACCCTGATAAAAGGTCTGTACACTTCACAGAAGTGGGAAACAGGGATAAATGTAGACAAAGCCAAGATTTTCCCAAGAAGCAGTTTTATATCCACTGTAGCCTAGGTGCTTTGGCTGAATAACGTTCAGAGCAAGTATATGCAGCATTTCTCATGTGGCTTTAGCCTGTACGGTTTTCCAGCATCCTATCAGGATGAATTAGCAGCCCAGGACACCTTAGGTGATGGAATGCCACATGCTGAATAGGGCTCATACTGGACATTCAGCAATTGGGGAAAGTCTTCTAAAGGCAGATTGTCTAGTTTGGTCATGGCTAATTGTTCTTCCTGGCTGTAGAGTAATACCAGGACTCCTAGTTTTTAATGAGTATCATGGGTACATCTGTGCATTTATTTGTTCATTCTCTTATTCTAATTCATTTAGCACCAGTTTTGTACTTGGAACTCTGCTAGGCCTGAGGGACAAAAATGAACTAATGATCTTCAGTGTTCATATTGTACAACTTATCAAGCCAACAAAATACACTTAGTAAGAAATGACACCTCATTTCAGAATTTAACTTTTTAAAACTGGTTGTGGTACGCAATTCCACATGCAAAGCATGTTTACTTCATGTTTTAGCATTCCAAGAATAAGAATTGTAAAGTGTTGATATATTTTAAGTATTTTGAAATTCTTTTTATTCCTTTTTCTACTGGAATTTATGAGAATAATATTTACTGTAAATTGAAATAGCTGTATAAATAAAAAGATACCAATTTATTTTAATTACATCCAAAGTGCTTCATATTAAAGTACTCTTGAGTTATTTCTGTGTGCAGTTTGGCTCTCCATTGGCCTGAAGTTGCCTGGTGGTGACCTCACAATTAGTGCCACCCGGCCCTCACTCTGCAGGCACGCTTGGCAAGACTGAGAACTGCGTGCAGTTCTTGTCTCATGTCCCCACAGAACCTTCCCTGTTTCTACCTTGTTCTTGCCTACAGCACCAGTTTCTACTCTCATCTGCTCTTCATCTAGGTCCCAGATCTTCCTTTTTATCCTCCTTTTCTTTATAAAATGGATAGAATGAAGGCCAGCCATTTGTACTTTAAAACATGTTCATGCAGGGGTGCCCAGGTGGTTCAGTTGGTTAAGTGTCTGACTTTGGCTCAGATTATGGCCTCACGGTTCGTGGGTTCGCGCTCCACGTGGGGCTCTGTGCTGACAGCTCAGAGCCTGGAGCCTGCTGCAGATTCTGTGTCTCCCTCTGTCTCTGCCCCTCCCCTGCTTGCGCTCTGTCTCTGTCTTTCAAAAATAAATAAAATATTTAAAAAATTAAAAAAAAAAAACATGTTCGTGCAACTTGTTACCTCTCCTAGAGGGCTTTTAATCCCCTGGTGATAGAGCAAATGATTTGATCTCAAACAGCAAACTTTCTGTGCCTGGATAAAATGCCTTTAACTCTGCTCAGTGAATTTCAGACCTGAGGAGAGGAGCATAGAAATAATTTTGGGGATGTTAGATCAGGTAACTCTTCACATTACACCTCAAATCATTGTGTGCTCAGTTAAACCTGAATGCAAACCTGTTGTACTCATTTTAGTGTGCATGGGACTTGGTAAGAAAAGAGGCACTGTCACTTCCCGTGCATTCCTTCTTGCTCTCCCGGGAGGGAATATCCAGTGAGCCAGGGAAAAGCAAAGGGTTTTGGAACTGGATGAAGTTTTGAATTTTCTACTCCATGCACTTGTTGTTTGTGCTTGGCAGATAACCTAACCTCTCTTTGCATGGGTTTCTTCACCCAACTGAGTGGGACTAATCATCACTGCCACTCTTAGGCTGTAATGGTAAGCAGAAGCTGTACTAGGAGTTTTTTTTGTGCAGGTCTACTAATCTCTTGAGTCCTCATTTTCTGCTGCTTAGGGGTCAGTGCTTTCCCTATTAGTAAGTCCTACATAGCAGTAGAGGAGTCCGCAGCTTTCACTTGTGCACCATTGGGTCAGAGTTGTGTGACTGTGGTTTTAAGAGAGACACATGCTCAATTGAAACAATTTAGAAAAAAACAAAACAGAAAAAGCAAGATAGAAATGATCTAAAGCCCCACAACTCAAAGACAACAACTTTTAATTCTTGTCATATTTCTGTGCAGAGTTTTATTAGTTTTTCTCCTATCTTTGAAATTACCCTGCAAACATATGTAAATTTTGTATCTTGCTTTCATATAAGATAAACTTTTACTCTTCTTTTCTTAACATCTCTTTGTGACCATTTAATTGTTATGTACTATCCTGCTATTTGGGTGTGCTGTTAGTTGTTTGTAACTTTTTGCTATTAATATTTCATTAACTATCCTTGTTCATGTAGCTTTTTAATGTTTGATATTATTTCTTTATTAAATATCCTTAGAGGCAGAATTTACTAAGTTAAGGAGTAGGATTGTTTTTAAGGCTGTGATACTTGTGTTATTTATCAAATATTTATTAAATGCTTATTTTCTATGGCACAGAATACAAAGCATTGGGCATAAAAATAAGAATTCATGTTTTTGCCTTTTTTGGCATAGTTGGGAAAATGAGATAATTGTGTAAAAAGTTACAAACCTTGAAGAAAATTAAATTATTTCCAGGTATCAATGGAAAGAGGTGTCGTCAGGAAATAGGATGAAAGTATTTATGTGTGCCATGGAAATTTAAAGAGAAACAATACTGCTTACTACATGGTTGGCTTTATCTTGTACATCATAACAACATTTTATGGTTGGTATGATGCCATGTTAGAGGTATGGAAACTAAGGCCAGGAAAGATGGTTGCACAAACAGTACATGGTAAATTTAGGATTTGGAAATCAGATTCTAAGTCCCATGGGACCAGCTAAGGGCATCTTGGCTTTTGTGGCAGTTGCAGCCTCTCTGAGGCCTTCTTGATAGCATATTCTGGTCCATAGTCTGCATGGGGTCTGCTTTTCTTTAATGTGTTGATGGACTAAAGAGGATGTTATATAAATGCATCAAGTCATTTTTTAGATGTCTCTGATTACCCCATAAGAGTAAAGTTTTAGTGTGACTAGAGAGTGTTTTCAGAGAATCCAGTCCACGGGAAACAACTTTGAGTTTACAGCTTTTCCCTATCTATCCACCAAGTGTATATGTGGGCAACACTGATGTCTAGTTTTAAGGGGCATTTATAACATTATTATATCTTTAATGGTTATCATGTTTTTAAGTATGTTTGAGATTTTCTGGTTTTGTTTTAGGTTACCTTTATTGCTTTTTATTAAAAATAAGCCCTTGAGGTTTTAGATTTCACTTGTCTTTCTCCTCATTTCATTATTTTGTAGAAATCTTCTTCCTATTACGCATGTGTGTATAGAAGAAGGAGAAAAGCCCATGGTGATACTGCCTTACATGAATTGGGGGAATCTTAAGTTGTTTTTACGGCAGTGCAAATTAGTAGAGGCCAATAATCCGCAGGTGAGAAAAATTTGCCCCAATACTAATTATTTGCCGGGAACTTCTGATATTATCTTTGAAAATAGATGTTAACCTTCCTACATATAAACTGTTTAAAAACCTGTAAAAAGAAACAAAATGAACTAGAAGATATTTATACCCTGTTGATTTAGAGTAAGATGGTTTATGATTCCTGTCTTAAAGGTTGCACTTCACTGATGGCTGAACTTTCTCCTTTTATCCATTGTGTGTTTATTTATAATCACCTCAGACCCTCTCTAACACCATCTCAGCCATTTTCCTGATAACTCTTTGAAGGCACTGGTACTAGATCTCCCTTGTAGGAATGGAAACACACTTGACAGAGTCATTTGGTCCATATTATACCAAAAGCTGGTCGTGACTGGAGGTCTAGATTATGGGGATAATGGATCTGTTTTTTAATATGCTTGGCTATAAGATATCGATCACTTAGGAGTTTCCTTCTCTTTGCTGCTTGTGCACATGGCTTTGAAGCATTTGGTTATATTCCAGACACATTATGATGGTAGTGGTAGTAAAGCCTAGCTGGTGTTTTGTTGCCTACTGTAACTTGTAGCTGTATTGTTTGTTTTAGAGTTTATAATGATGTACTTACTACAGTTGCCCAGAGAAAGTGGATTCAAATGCTGCATCGGGTGACCTATAAGTCAATATGCTTTGTAAATTGACAGGATTAAACCAGGGTTCCCCAAAAATTGTTGGAGGCTGCAGCCCATCAACATTACCTGAGGAAGAATTTCACTCCTTAGCCCACAGTACTAGCATACTGGCTCTCGAGGAGCATATCAGTAGTGAGAGCTATAGACTTATATTAGTTTGAAAATGGTCTCCAGAGATAATCTCCTAATAAAAACTTTTGATTTTAAAGAACAGGTTATCAAATAATAAACATTTGAAATATTATCTTGAGAATTTGGCATTCATGGAACAGATATTTATTGGGCACCTATTGTAAGTCCTAGTTGTTGGGGAGATCTACCTAACAGATGAGAGAGACAGTGTGAAGTAAATGGTAAGTTACATTACAGAATGATAAGTACTAGTAGATACAAATATTAGGGAGCCATGGGAACATATTCTTGGTCAAGAAGTAGCTTTTTAAAAGTCAAGTGTAGGTGTAAAGAAGTATTTTGGGATGGAGTAGGATTGTGGAATAAAATAAGTAGCTGCCATCATAATTTTTGTGCTAACTACAAGCAATGTCAATTTTTTTTTTTTTTAACCACAGGCAATTTCTCAACAAGACCTGGTACACATGGCCATTCAGATTGCCTGTGGAATGAGCTATCTGGCCAGAAGGGAAGTCATCCACAAAGACCTGGCTGCTAGGAACTGTCTGTAGGTGCCATGAGCTTGTCACTGTCCTTTGATGTTTAGTTTTCCCTGGATTTGGGCTCTCTCCAGGAGTCACTGTGGGAATTGTAAGAGTAACCCTGATTCATATGTTTTAAACAGTCTGATTGCATTTGATGCTCATGTCTTTACTTTTCAGGATTGATGACACACTTCAAGTTAAGATCACAGACAATGCCCTCTCCAGAGACTTGTTCCCCATGGACTATCACTGTTTGGGGGACAATGAAAACAGGCCAGTTCGGTGGATGGCTCTGGAAAGTCTGGTTAATAATGAGTTTTCCAGTGCTAGTGATGTGGTAAGTGCTGGGAATCTTGGATATCAATAGAATGGTGAAGAGGCTTTATGTTTTAATTTTTTTTCTATATATTTTTTTTAATTTAGTAACTGTTCCCTGAAATGTTTCATTGAGAAAGCAAGTGTAGTTAGCTCCAGTCAGCCAGTTCATGGAAAGATGCTGTGACTCAGACCATGGGCCATCAATGTGTGTAATCACATTTCATCCTCAGAGTAACCCTGTGAGGGGGCTGTTAACACTATGAAGTAGCTAGACACGAATATCCCAGTTTTAAAGGTAGATACTAAGGCTTAGAGAGATTTCAGTATTTGGGTTTTTTTTTTTTTCTTATGTAAGTCTCAGAAGAACCAAGTGATTGCCAGATCATAAAGATTTATTGTTCCTTTCAAACATCCTCTTCCAACATTATGAACTGTGTTATTTGTAATTCCCCAGATGCCACTCTCTTCCCTTTTGTCTGTTTCTGAGTAGTTCTGCCCACCAGAGAAGATCATATAGTGGGATCCTTTATACTTAGTGATGAATAGTTTCAGTAGCCACGTTTACTTGTGGGTATTTTGTAGACATTTTAAATTGCTTTTAATTTCTCACTTTTTAGTCTCATTTGAAAGATGGATTTATTTTTCTATCTCAGTACAGTTTGTTACTGTAGCTGAATAGAGATTAGGTAAAACTTTTGCTTATAGGGTCGCCCTCTGTGACCACTCAATGATACGTTAGTATTAAATATAAAACCATAAGAGACTTGAATGCAGAGAGCAAACTGAGGGTTGATGGGGGGTTGGGGAAGGGGAGAAATGGGTGATGGGCATTGAGGAGGGCACTTGTTGGGATGAGCACTGGGTATTGTATGTAAACGATGAATCACAGGAATCTACCCCCAAAGCCAAGAGCACACTGTATACACTATATATTAGCTAACTTGACATAAATTTTTAAAAATAAATAAATATAAAATCTTATAGAATTATTTGCTTTGAAGTTTCAACTGTAAAAATTGGGCTTACTATATCCTTGTATCTTGTGGTTTACATCAATAGATTTTATTTATAATATAGGGTTACCCTTTTACTTCTAAGTTTGTGTGCTTTAAGGATTGCTCTTTTAATGCCCTCATTTCCTTAGTTGTATTAGTGTCCTCTGGATGCTGTAACAAATTATGCAACCTTGGTGGTAAAACAAGAGAGGTTTATTCTCACAATTGAATTCTGGAGGTCAGATGTCTGATATGAAGGTGTAGACAGGGCCATGCTCCCTCCAGAGCCCCTAAGGGGGAAACTTTCCTTGTTTTTTCCAGCTGCTGATGGCTGTTGGCATTTCTTGGCTCATAGCTGCATCTCTCTGCTGCATGTTCCTATCACCTTCTCTTCTGTGTGTGTCTGTCTCTTAAAACTCCTTCTCCCTCTCTCTTATAAAGATATTTATGATTGCATTTAGGACCCACCTATATAATCCAGGATAAGCTTTTTTGGGGGTGGGGGGAAGGGTTGTATTTTCAGTTTTGATACCGATTTTTCTCAAATAATATAAAATGGGAAAGCGGAGTTTGATTTTAGTCTAGCACACAGCTCCTGTATGAATATCAGTAAGGACAAATTATGCTCTTATTGATATGTTTTGGAGGTTGCCAGATCTTTATTTATTCATTTTTTTTTTAATTTTTTTTTTCAACGTTTATTTATTTTTGAGACAGAGAGAGACAGAGCATGAACGGGGGAGGGGCAGAGAGAGAGGGAGACACAGAATCGGAAACAGGCTCCAGGCTCCGAGCCATCAGCCCAGAGCCCAACGCGGGGCTCGAACTCACGGACCGCAAGATCGTGACCTGGCTGAAGTCGGACGCTTAACCGACTGCGCCACCCAGGCGCCCCTGCCAGATCTTTATTTAGAAGTTCTGAATTGTAGCTGGAATTCTTTGCCAGCTTCTACATTAAGCAGAGCTGTTTTCATGGGAGTACAAATGAGTTTAACGTTTTTAGCACATAGCTTAAAACATAGTATCAGTTAAACTAGAACTATATGGTTTTCAGATCTACCCCTTTAATAGAAAGGGGTAGAAATCTGAACATTTTTGAGTGAAGAAAAGTAACTTTGTTCAATATAGTTTTTTTAAATTCTTACTCCATTGTTGATTTAAAAGATTAAGTCACTCATCTCTTTGGGATATTACTATTTTTTTCCATGGTTGATTTTTAAAATTTGTGATTTTGTTACTCATTGAAATATAGCATAATTGCCTTAGCAGAAATGAAGGGGCAGTTGGGGTGAACCCAAAACTAGTCTAGTGGGCAGGAAATGGAAGATGTTTCTTAAATAACAAGTATGCCATGTAACTTCAAGAGATTGGGAATTGTTTGATTAATCTCTCAGTAAAAGGAGTAGTGATAGTTTCTATTTCAAGGGAATATACAAGATGGCCAATAGTGCTGTTTGCTCTTACACTGGAAGCCCCTAGAAAATGCACTGCTTAATTTAATGTATTTAGCTGTGTAGGTTATTCCACTCTAAGTTTGAGAAGTAATGGAATTATTTTTTATAACATTTATGATTAAATATTTCACAGGAACTCCTGAGTGGAAGTTAAATTAGATAATACACTTTCAACCAATGAAACTGTAGTTAATAATACATCCCTAGGTGGCGTGCCTGGGTGGCTCAGTTGATTAAGCATCCGACTTCAGCTCAGGTCATGATCTCATGGTTCATGGGTTCAAGCCCCGTGTCGGGCTCTGTGTGGACCACTCAGAGTCTGCAGCCCGCTTGGATTCTGTGTCTCCCTCTTTCTTTGCCCCTCCTCTGCTCCCGCTCTGTGTCTCTTACCTTCAAAAATAAACATTAAAAAAAAAATAATACATCCCTGAGCAATGTGATCTACATCTCTTCAGCCAAGTACACTGTCCTGTATTAAGTCCCAAGTTGAGGATACATGGTTTACTTGAGCAAACATTTCAAAATTATATTTAGAATTAGTTACTTTTATGGTTATGGTATTTTATAAATTTTGCAAGAGTTCATATATTTTATGTAAGAATCTGTCTTCTCTCAGAATGTAGTTGTACCAGATACGTTATTGCTTGCTGCTTGATCACTTGACAGCTTTATTTTTAAAAAATCTCCACGAACTTAATGGTGAGCAACCTAACAGCAGACTTACTTTAAAATCATAATTACTTTTAGTGTATCTTGGCATAAACTTACTTGAAATCTCTGTGTGACCCAAATTCTTCTGGCTGTACTTAGAATGTGATAGTGAGAAAACCCATGGATTTACATTTAATATGGTTAATCCTAAAATGTTCAGATTTTTCTTCTTTAGATTCTTAGAAATTAATTTCTTTTAAAATATATGTGTGTGTGTATATTTTCCCTTTAAATATCTTTTGTCTTGGATAGTTAAGATTAAAAGGAATAGGAACACTTTTCTGTGTCCTATGACTGTGATGTCACACTCACTATTAGTGTATTCAGTTTTGTGGGATTAAATACTTTTTGAATTCTTACATTAAAACTCAAATGTTAAAGATTGCTTGTTAACACTTGTATTGAAAATCTTTATGCATAATCATTGTTCTCTGTTCCCACTTTTCCATTATGGATGGAGTTGGGGGTTCAAAAGCTCCATTTGAAATACTGGTTTGGGGCTGAAAAGCTTTGTGTGTAGTCATATGCAAGATAAGTAATGTAACTCCACTCCCAACAGAGTCCTACACATGTAAAATACACATTTCAGGTGTAAATGTAGCACCTAACAAATGATATAACTGCCTTGGAGGGGGCATTTTCTTTGTCCTTTAAAAGAGCCTTAACATTTTTGCTTTTTTTTTTTATAGTTGAAAATTCTATGTGATTTATTTGGAAATACATTAATGTTTTCTATCTTAAAAATAATACATTGCATCTCTTGATTGTGTTTCCATAATTTTTACTGAAAAGATTCAATATTTCAGTATGTCAATATTCTTATAATGTTAATATCAGCTTTTAACTGTTGAACTTAGGAAATATGCACAACTAGATTTGACTGGTTATAAATCTGTTTTTTTATTCCAAGATATGACATCATCTTAGGCATTCTTAAGAATTTCTGGATATTGTTTTTATTCTGTTTTCATCAGATATAGATACCACCATGGATTTTTTTGTGTGACTTTCTTTTCCTTTATTTGAAAATAGATTTCTTGATTTATATCTTCTTTCAATTATTTAGGTAATTATAGTAGCTAACATAATTCTGCTATTAAGAGACTACCTCCTATTAAGAGACTAAATGCAATCAGGAATGCACAATTAAGAGTTTCTTTCTTAGTACTTTTTTGTCTTTATAGTATTACATTGTTTTTAAAAAACATTTTCTTGGCAAAAACAAGTCAAGGAAATGATTTCCATGCTAATCTTATCAGTATGACTTACTGTAATGAGACTCTTTAAGGTATTTGAACAGTTTTAGGGTACAGAGTAAATTAAAATGTGTTTCTTGTGCCTTTACAATATTTATTTTGTGAACATTAAAGATGACCTAGAAGAAGGAGGGAAATTTAGTTATCTAGATCTAGGTATCTAGATAACTATATCTATAGCAGAGTGCTTCTTACTGCTCATTTGCCCAGTGTCATGGAAAGTCATTGCCCATGCCTTGAGCAGAAGAAATTCACATTGGTAATACACTCATGAAGAGTGGTCTTCTGAACTACTGTGGTATCAAAGAGAAAGGTACGGTTTTCAGAGAATATGTTGCATTTGGGGGAGGAGGGGTTTGAGAACTATAGCTTCTACGTTTTTTGGTTTTGTTTTATTTATTTGAAAGTTTTATAATTTATTTTTTAAATTTATATCCAGGTTAGCATATAGTGCAACAATGATTTCAGGAGTAGTTTCCTTAATGCCCCTTTCCCGTTTAGCCCATCCCCCCTCCCACAACCCCTCCAGCAACCCTCTGATGGTTCTCTATATTTAAGAGTCTCTTATGTTTTGTCCCCCTCCCTG